CCTTGGGGAAAGAAAGAAACCCCCCCCGGGAACCCGGGAAGGCGGCCCCGTTGCCTTTGCCGCCCCGGCCAGGCCCCCCCCCAGGGGAAAGGGGGGGGTCCTTTGGCAACCCCCGGGTGCGGGGGGGGCATTTTTTTGGGGGCCCCCCCCCCCCCCCCCCCGCCCCCCAGCCCCCCTTTCCCCCCTTTCCCCCCCGCCCCAAACCCTTTTCCCTTTCCACAGCCCCCCCCCCCCCCTCCGACAGGCCACATCGTTGGCGCGGGTGCTATCCTCGGCTGCACGGCGGCGGGCTTCCTGGCGTGAGGTGCAACCGTCGCGCGCGCAAGGAGAGCGGCAGGGGGCTCTCAGCACGGCCAGGCGACGGCGAGGCGGGCGCAGTGCGTACAGTCTGCGCGGCTCTCGCTCGGCGCGGCGCCTGGTCTGCCGCAAGGTCCCCCGACCGGGCTCCCGCACGCGCGTTTCTTAGTGCACCAGTCCTCTCTGTGTCTCAAGACACAGCGACGTTTTGGCTTTTGCGGGGGAGAGACTTCGCTTGTGTCACCGACGTGCGGGTGCGCGAGTCGGAGCTCGTCGTTTTCGGTTTTGAGAGAGCATATGTGGAGAGAAAAGATAAGACCAAAATACAGGATAGTGTTCCAATTCACTCCGCCGGCACCTTGATTCCCGGATGCGCGTCTCCCCCTCCCCCTATGTGCCGCCACCCCCCTCTCTCCAAACCGTAACCAGCGTATAATTCCGTAACAGGATACAGGTCTCGCGCGAAAAACGCCCTAATCGAGCTGGAGTGTGGAGAGGGGCCCGCGCGCGCCCGGCCCCCAGCCGCACACGGGAGCGTGCCCTAGCTAGCGGGAGGCGTCAGACGTACTTTCGGCGTGATCCGTGAACAAGGACTTTCGGCGACGTCCGTTCCCTTGGACACGTCGACACATGGCACCGACGCAGCTCAGCATTGTGCTGGAGCGCATGCTCAACGAACTCGGGATAGCCGACCTCACGTTCGAGGCTGTGCTGGGGGGGGGGGGGGGGGGGGGCACCCCCCCCCCCCCAGAGGCCTATGTTGTAAAGAGCGCGGCCCGACGGACACAATGCCGGCTACTGACGTCGTCTCACCGGTGCCTTGGAACGACGTCAACTTCCTGATCGTCACCGATGTTCATTCTTGGATTGCCGGCCATCGGCACCCGGATCACACACTGGCGCTCGACGCGGACTATGGGCACGTGCTGTCCCTGCACGAGCGCCTAGCGGAAGTCGCAGCGGCCAGAGGCTGCGACCTCTTCCTGGTGCAGAATGGCGACCTCAACGACGGCACCGGATTCTCCCGGACGCCGCCCGCGGTTCTCGTGCCGCTGCTGCAGCGCATGCCATTCGATGCACTCACAACGGGCAACCACGAGCTGTACGAGAACGAAAATATCGACTATCTCGCGCAGCCTGGCGGGTTCATCGACTCGTGGAATGGAAGCTTCATCACCTCAAACACGTGAGTGCAACCGTCTATGCTCGTTCATCGCCCCCTGCCCACCTGCTCCTCTCCCGTCATGCATCACTCCCCAGCCTCCCCACGTCTCGCCGCTCGCTCGTAGACTGGACGCCGCGACGGGCGAGCATCTCGGCTCCAGCCACAAGCTGCTCGTCGGCCGAACCTCGCGCGTGCTCGCCTTTGGCTTCCTGTTCGACATGAGAGAT